TTTGCAGTGTGTGATAAGGAATCAACATCCAGCTATGGAATTTTCTCTTACACATGAAAAAACATTAAGCATCAAACAGGCCATACTAAGGTCTGTTGTGGAGCTATTAAGTGGACCTGTCGGGCAGAAAAGCATCAAAACGGACATGCAACAGGCATTTCCAAATGTTTGTGGATATACAGAAACACCCAATAAATTTCCAAGAAATTTCTTAGAGAAGCTTTGACTTCAGCTATAAAATAGTTAATGAAGGCAGGTGGCATGCAATAAATAAGTCAGACAGATCCAAAAAGGCAATACCTGATGATGCTTGTGTTGGAATAAAGAAGAGAGAAAGTGTAGACAAAGCGCTGAAACAGAAAAGAGACTCGTTGTTTCTTAATCTCTCAATTCGAGTGCATAAAATCAGATAACCTAGTGCCATTATATAGGCTTACAACTTAACAAATAGACCTAAAAACTAGGAACTAAAGCAAAAGTGGTTCTGCTGAGGTAAACTGCTGCCAACAACATGCCCACTAACAGTAACTATCTAATTGACTTAGTAAAACTTAACTAAAAATTAGGACCATAAAAAGACTGCTGAAGAATCAGTCAACACTCCCCCTTTCTTCAAAGTCACACACTCCCATTTGTAGCCTGAAGAACTCATGCTTGTTGCGTGGAAGTGATTTTGTAAGAACATCAGCAACTTGATCATTTGTGCCACAAAATTTCAGTGAGATTATTCCAGATTGCGAATGAAGTGATAGCGAATGTCGATGTGCTTCGTCCTACTATGAAATGCAGGATTTTTTGTCATAGCAATCGCTGCCTTATTGTCACACCAGATTTCAGTTGAACCAATCTGCTCTTGTTGAAGATCCACTAACAATTTCCTTAACCAAATGGCTTGGCACCCGACAGAAGTTGCAGCCATGTACTCTGCTTCAGAAGATGACAAGGCGATCGTATCTTGTTTCCTTGAACTCCATGAGATTGCTCCAGAACCAAGACTAAAGACACTCCCAGATGTGCTCCTGCGATTTTCTAAGTTTCCTGCCCAATCACTATCAGTAAAACCAATTAATCTAAAATCTGATACTTTTGAGTACCAAATTCCATAACTTATAGTGCCAGCAACATATCGCAAGATCCTTTTGGCTGCACCCAGGTGTTGCTTCGAAGGACTATGCATGAACCTTGAAATCAAACTGACAGAGAATGCTATATCGGGCCTTGTATGTGATAAATAGTTTAGACCACCAACCAAGCTTCTAAAATAAGAAGCATTTACTGAGCCTGTACCATCATCAAGTACTAGTTTCTCATTCGTATTCATGGGCGTGGGAGATGGATTACAATTCAGCATGTTGAACTTCTGTAAAAGTTCAGTAGCATATTTTCTTTGAGAAATAAAGATTCCATTCGAACCTTGTTTTACCTCAAGTCCAAGAAAATAATGCAGCATACCCAAGTCGGACATTTCAAATTTACCCATCATGCAACTCTTAAATTCAGAAACAATAGATTCACAAGAGCCCATATATATAATATCATCGACATAAAGACAAACGACTAGAAATTCACCATTACCTCTCTTCTTCACAAAAAGTGTGGGTTGATTCTCACTTCTTCTGAACTGCTGCTCTTGAAAAAAGGTATCAATTTTGCTATACCATGCCCGTGGAGCTTGCTTCAGACCATACAATGCCTTCTTCAGTCTGTATACTTTGCTTTCCCCTTCACTAGAGATGAAATCTTCAGGTTGAGAGACGTATACTTCTTCATGTAAGTCGCCATTTAGAAAGGCAGACTTAACATCAAATTGGTACACAGGCCAACCAAGTTGAGCAGCCAAGGCTAGAGTAGTTCTAACCGTTTCAAAGCGAGCTACTGGTGAGAATGTCTCTTCAAAGTCGATGCCTTGTTTCTGGCTATATCCTTTTGCAACAAGTCGGGCTTTATATTTTTTCACACTTCCATCAGCATTGTACTTCACTTTGAAAATCCATTTTAGCCCGATAACATTCTTCCCTTCAGGAAAATCAACCAACTCCCAGGTTTGGTTTTTCTCAATGGACTGGAGCTCTTCAATCATTGCATTCTGCCACTCAGGTTGCTTTACAGCTTCTTCATAACATGTTGGTTCAACAACTAACAAGGAAAAACTGCAAGATTCATAAATATCTTCCAGCGACCGAAACTTGTTTGGGGGCGTTTCGCTAGATGACGTCGAAGATGGAGAGTGTGATCTTATTGGAGTAGAATTGTTGTTGCTACCACCATGAGAAGAATTAATACTATCACTGCTGGAAGAAGAGGAAGGATCCAAACCTATAGAACCAAGACTCGTAGTATGCTCTCCTTCTGGTTGGACCGGAATATGGATTACCGAATCTTCTTTCTTGCCATTCCATTCCCAGGCTGCTTCTTCGTTGAAAACAACATCCCTGTTGATAATCACTTTGCCACTAGTAGGATTATATAGTCTATATGCTTTGGATTGAGGACTATAACCAATGAAAATGCATTTCTCTGATTTTTCATCTAGTTTAGAACGTATATTAACCAAAGCATAAGCTATGCAACCAAAGACTTTCAAGTGGCTTACTGTTGGTTTTCGTCCCGTCCAAGCTTCATAAGGAGTTTGATTCAAAACAGCTTTTGTTGGAGACAAGTTCAGGAGGTACACAGCTGCAGCCACTGCTTCTCCCCAAAAGTGAACTGGAAGTCCCCTTCCATTAAGTAGGCTTCTAGCCATCTCAACCACTGTGCGATTTTTTCGCTCGGCGACTCCATTTTGTTGTGGCGAGTACGGTGATGTGAGCTCCCTGCGAATTCCATTCTCATCACAAAACAAATTAAAATCATCAGATAAAAATTCACCACCACGATCTGTGTGAAGAGCTTTTATGTTGTAGCCTGATTGCTTCTCCACTAGGGCCTTGAATTTCTTGAAATTCTCAAATGCTTCAGATTTGAACTTGAGAAAGTAAACCCAGCTCATACGGCTATAGTCATCAGTAAACAGAAGAAAGTACCGACTCCCACCTAAAGACTCAATTTTCATCGGCCCACACAAGTCAGCATGCACAAGCTCAAGACAACTACTAGCCCTCCAGGATTTTTCGACTGGGAAGGATTTTCTACTTTGTTTTCCGAATATGCACGCTTCACATAATTCAAGATCACCCACTTTCGGTAAACCAATCACCATGTTCTTTCTGGTCAACAATTTCAGCCCATTAATGTTCAAATGACCATAGCGAAGATGCCAAAGTTGAGTTTCATTAACACCTTTAGCAACCAACGAATTTTCAACAACATTTGAAACATTAAGGGGAAACATGTTGTTCTGAGTCATAGGTACAATTGCAACAGTTTGACCAGATTTCTTGTCACTAACAATGCATGAATCATTATCAAACAAAACAGAGTAACCATTAACCATCAATTGTCCAACACTTAGCAAGTTGTAAGCCAAACTAGGAACAAACTGCACATCACAGATAAGTTTAGAATTACCCTGCATTGTTTTGATGGCTATTGTACCCCTGCCTTCAACTCGTACTTGCTTGTCGTCACCGAGTCGAACTTCACTTTTTCTCGACTCATCAAGATCTCTAAATAGAGACTTTGTACCAGACATATGATTCGAGCAACCACTATCAATAATCCAAACACCATCAGAATTGTCAATAGTTTGAGAATGAACCATGAACAACTTACTTTCCTCTTCAACTTTTTCAGAGAGATTGGCATGTTTCTGTTCATCTCTTTGCTTGGTCCAACAATATGCTTCACTGTGGCCGGACTTCTTGCAATACCAGCATTGTAAGTCACTCTTGGGCTGACGTGACTCACTAAATTGTCCTCGACCTCTGCTGCGGCCTCGACCTCTGCCTCGAAATCCACCTCTTCCTCGACCTCTACCAGAAAAATTTGAGGATTTTTCTTTGGAGAAAGAAGACTCCTCTTTCACCTGGAATGCTTTTTCTTCAACCTTCTCATGTGATCGGTTTAGCCTATCTTCATGAGCTAACAAAGAACCCATTAATTCATCAAACGAATAGTCAGATAAGTTCTTGGATTCTTCGATAGCAGCAACCACATGCTCAAACTTACTGGTTAAAGACCTCAAAACCTTTGCTACAACAGTTTCATCAAAAATCTTTTCTCCATAAGACTTCATCAGATTTAACAATTGCAGAGACTCAAGACATATAGTCTTGCACAGATTCACCCTTTTTCATGCTTAGAGTTTCAAAATCACGACGTAAGGTTTGCAATTTAACTACAATTACCTTCTTATCTCCCATATATTCCTGCTGCAAAATTTCCCAAGCTTCATTGGATGTCTCTGCTGCTGAAATTCTGGGAAAGATATCATCATGAAGGGCTTGTTGAATCAAGAACAGCGCCTTCGAATCCTTTCTACGATTTTCCCGGAGCTGTTGCGCATGACCTTCATCGGGGTCTGGAAATCCTTTCTCCACCAAGTCCCATAGCTCTTGAGACTTAAAAAGAGTCTTCATCTTAAGACTCCAAAACTGATAATTCACCCCTTTAAAGATTGGAAGAGGCTGAGAATTTGAATTGGTGTTCACTGCCATTTTTTTTTCAAATCTGAAGATAAAGGATTTCTTTCTTGCGTTTTACAATCTCTCTTTCTCACCCTCTCTCTGGCTCCCAGGTGTAGAAACCTGATTGCTCTGATACCAAGATTGTTGGAATAAAGAAGAGAGAAAGTGTAGACAAAGCGCTGAAACAGAAAAGAGACTCGTTGTTTCTTAATCTCTCAATTCGAGTGCATAAAATCAGATAACCTAGTGCCATTATATAGGCTTACAACTTAACAAATAGACCTAAAAACTAGGAACTAAAGCAAAAGTGGTTCTGCTGAGGTAAACTGCTGCCAACAACATGCCCACTAACAATAACTATCTAATTGACTTAGTAAAACTTAACTAAAAATTAGGACCATAAAAAGACTGCTGAAGAATCAGTCAACAGCTTGTTCCAGAGCTTTCAATCCCCAGGATCAAAGGGTTCCCAAGAACCAATGTTTTTGCTCTGAATAATTTGGAACATTGCACACTTGCAAGCTGAAATAAAAGATAAGAATGATCTGTTGAAGGAACAGCTGATGAAGACATGTTGGGAGTTCCATCTTTACAAGAGCCTTAGCTGAATGTAACATAAACATATGCACACTTTGTCAAGTAAACCATCTCATATTATTTCTCATCAACATATCCGTCACAATATAGTTATCAACAGTTAGCCCATTTCTTAATTCTATAAGATCTTATCAATGCAGGATTCTTCAAGTGGCTGGTCCTCAATTTTCCACCAAAAAAAAAAAAAAACATGCCGAAAGAAACAAGTCCATTCAGAAGTAATGAATCTAGAAATACACTTTCTGCAAAATGACATTCAACCTTAGGTCAAGCTTTCTTACATGATTATCAAAGAAAAAATACATTGTGCTTAGACATGAAAAATCTACAATCAACTATTTTGTATTGGATACTGATAACTAGAATCCAAACCTCGTCTATCAACTATAAACCAGTTTCAAACCAAAAGTAAAAGGTTGTTATGTATGTTGCGATCACAACAAAAGAGAATGGCGTAAGATTATCAACAAGGAAAGACAACTGAAGCTTGCGGACAGGATCTTGGAAAGCTTAGGACCTCCTGACAACATAATTCCAAAACACATCTCTCCTTCTGAAGTTGCAAGCAATGACAGACTTCTTTAGTGCTGTCGCATTCTTGCACAAACATTTGATCAATGGGTGTACAAACTTTTTTTCACTTGGTTTTCCATAAAAGTTAATGAACTTGAAGAACTTTAGATGTGGCAATGAACAGTTAAAACTATGTGTTTCAAATCTCCTCCGTCGTTCATCCTCATTTGTGTACATTGACAGCAATTCCTGCAGGAAAAAATCCGATATATTGCAGACAAATTAAAAAGCTGATAAATTTTTCCAAATCCCCTTTCTGGAAGAGGATAAGCTGTCAAATCCCCTCTTTGTAACCTTTTATCATCATCTATGAAACATAACAGTAAGGTGGTTTCAATTTAAAAGCAAAACAGAAAAGAAAGTATAATGACTTTTTTTCCTGAAGCACTAAACATATATCATCTTTCACTAATAGTTTTATATTAATTACATTAAGTAATAAAAATAAAGGTCTAAAAGAAACTTACTCTTGGTTTAGGATGGCACCAGTCAATGACCAATGTCTCAAGACCTGATGAACTCGATAGAAAGCTGCAAATTCCAGGATAGTCGTACTGTTCTAAGGCTGCGTTAAGTTTTAAGAATTTCCAGCTTGATGGTGGAACATGCCACCCTTTAAACTCCAGTATGGACAGGCACTTATGAACCAAAAAGATAAACCAAAATACATCAAAAACTAGGAAATGCAACATTCTTAGTAAATGACATGAAAATTGTTCAATAATTCGTACAAACAACTTCAACTATAGGACTGTTTTGCCTCAAGCCACATCGAAGTATTCAAGGCTGGCTTGGAAATCTACGGATTGATTTTTAAACACTTGGAGAAAACCCACAAAGGTAGGCGTAAGGTTTGCGTACGCCACACCCCTTCCCTAGACCACAAGTAGAGGGATTACACTAGGTATGTTAATGTTTGGAAAAACACATTACATGACTGTTTGATAAAAGTAGTGTTCGGGCCAGTTTGCGTGCACCTCAATTAATTCCACAGGATACTTGCCAATTGCCACTTCCTATCCGCAACAGGTACTAGGTAACTTTGTCAACCAAGGCTACAACGACTAAGGCTCAACCCACATCATTGACCACTAGGCCACACCCATTCACATGACTTCAAGAGTATGATCACCGTAAAACCAATCCAAATTTTAAATGTTATCTATCCTATAGTAAACTCTTTATTCTCACAATTTCCGTCATAAATAGAGTAATTTTTTTGTTCAATAGGCCTTGTTTCAATCACCTACAACTGTCTAACAAAATTGGCCATGAGGATGTTATTCTTTAGTACTTACAAACATAGTTACAAAACTGATGAATTCAATAGCAAATGAAAAACAAAATCTGAATTGGATAGCCAAAGTATGAACAAACCTCGATGCACCAGGGACCCAATTCAAGATTCTTGACATTGGCAACGTGGTGAAGAAGTTCCTGCAAATATCTACACTCCTTCTCCAAATTCTCTTCAAGGTCGAAAAAATAAACATTTAAAGAAAGGACTGCAGTGACAAGAGAAGCCACATTTCTCAGCTGAAAGTGTATCTTATCGTAACACAATCCCGAAAGTTCTAAATGTCGAATATGTGGGGCATGAATTTCGACGCAATAGTCTTGATCATCATCAGCAGATTCTGTTTCATAAATCGTTACAACCAATTTTCTCAGCTTCACAGAGCTGATTTCCAGACGACGAATACCAACAACTTTATCTAATTCCAAGCACTCCAAAATAGGACAACCTGATAATATTTTTTCCATTACACCCTCTGTCATACCCGCATCCCCAATCGAAAGAGAAACCAAATTACTCCATTTCACATTACCAGAAGGTCTCAACCGGCAAAATCCTAACACCAAATTCCTTAAAACCGTATTCGTATACGCGAATTCAGGAAATTTATACGCAAAATCTAGAGAATCAAAATAACAAAATTTCAACGTAAACTCTTCAACCTTACCAATATTAAGAGCAAAGTGAACCCACAAATCAACATCATGAGCAATAAAATCCTGGTAGCTATAAGGAAAAACCCTAAATGATTTGATTTTCTCGCAAGACCTCCAATAATGAAGCTCTCTATTAACAGAAGCTGCGTAATCGAGAATGTATATTTTTTTGTAAGGTTTACGATAATCTTCTGAGTTGAAATCGAGTGATGCTGAAACGGATTTCCAAAGAAATCGCCATTGCGATGATAATACGCTGGTTCGAACAACTTGTCTACTGTTTGGTAACATAGAGAGGATGTAGAGTAGAATCTCCTCCGGCAGATCAGTCAGCCGGTCTCCTCCTCCGGCCGCCGCCATGATTTTCTTGTGCATTTCCAGGGAGTATAGAGAATCTTCAATTGCAGTTTTGGTAATGGCGGTTTATATGTCCTCGATTTCTGTGCACAAAACTCTGTAAAAATTAGGAGAGAGTAAAATATTTAAAAAGAGAAGAAAAATGTCCTAAATAAGAAGTGTTCAGCCTAGCTTTTATACGCCGCAACTAAGTTCACGGAATACATGCCACCTCCATCGGCAATTCTAGAACAGATGGAAAGGTTTGCCTAATATTTTTTGTCTTTTTTGATTCATTAGTAAATTGATTTTGATTCTCTATTATTCTTTCGTCCTATTTTATGTGAGGTAGTTTGATTCGACACAAAGCTTAAGAAAGAAAGAAAACTTTTAAAACTTGTGGTCCAAATTTGTGTGGCTATAAATATTTTATAGATAAATTGTTAGTTAATATAGAAATGTGTTATTTTTTTTTTGAACTGACTAAAAAGAAAAGTAAGTCACATAAATTGAGACAGAGGGAGTAACTTTTTTTTTTCTATTTTAGCCTACCTTTCTTTTTATCATTTTCCAAAGAGTTGGTAAACTTGGCCCGTATGCAAAAGATATTCGCCCATATCACAAGACTAGAAGAAAATAATTTACCACGACCTTATTTACCAAGCTCAGGACTAAAGGAGCATTTTAGGATTTTGTGGTATCGCTTGTAATGTAATAAGGATGAAGTCTCAATAGTAATGTCCCTAAGTTTTGAATTTGAAACCTTAGGATTCTCAACCACTTCATTGAGGTTGATGGGTATAATTAAGTGAAAAGAGGCAAATATAATCCTCAATTTAACAGTTTAGAGCATATCTCTCGTTATAAAAGTTATTCAATTATTATCAGCATTTAACAAATTATGCATATATACCAACGACGACTAATGAATAATATAACCCTTGGAAAGTTGAGTTTTTGGATAATTTTATATTCGGATCTAATTTTGATTATGTATTATGTCATATAAGAACAAGTTGATTAATTCACAATTCAACAATATCAATAGAAATCACAACATTTTTTCTTCTTCTTTTATCTTATTTATGGTTTAACATACTGGAAGTATAATGTTGAATTACTTCAAAAGTAGAATCAGCAGCTCATCTCACGTTTTAGGATTCAAACCAAGAATCATACCAATTTCATTAGATATATATTTCAACTAAAATTCCTCTTTTTTCTAATCCAATTCTTCCACCATTCACAACGCAAATCCCAATTAGATTCAGTCATGCTACACTTTTTACTTATTGGGCGAACCCAAGTACTCTCTTTCCGTCTCAAGAAACAACTCTCAAGTACAATATTAGTTAGACATGAAAAAACTATTAATAACTCCTTCGACACTTGACAAGTACAATCAATCGTGACCTTGTTTATCAACAACAAACTAGTTTAAGAAATCAAATTAAATAGAAAGAAATAGTTATCATCAAAAACAAGAAGTTGTGAGGAATATTGCAATCAAATATTGTTGAATTATGAAGAAAATACAATTGAAGCATTTGGAGAAGATCTTGGAAAGCTCAAGAACTCATGTTCCATTTTAACATAGTCTCGCGATGCATTACTCCCTTTTAATATGGCAGCAACCATGAATTTTTCTAGCATTGTTGCATTCTTAAGCAAATATTTTACCAACGACAATATAGACTTATTTTCACTTAGTGATCCATAAAAGTCAATGAAGTTGATGGTCTTGAGATGTCGCAATGAGCAATTAGAATCATGTGTCTCGAACCACTTGCTATATTCATCATCATCATCTTTGTAGCTCAACGACAAGTTCTGCAAGAAAGGATCCCCTAACATTAGTCTATTTTGACAAATCAAGAAATGACAAAAAAAAAATTTCTTATTATACCCTCAATTTATTACTTTGAAAAATGTAGAACTTCTTGAAAATCTTAAATTTTTAATTCATGTACTTTCATAATTAATAGGGGTAAAATGGTAAACTCACTATATCAATTATTGTTTTCTTAATAGGTCAAAAATGAACAAGTAATTAAGGACAGAGGGGAGGGAGTATAAAGAATCTAAAGTATAACAAAAAGAAAAAAGTACAAGCAAACTTACTTCCCATTCGTATTCGTACCAGTCAATCACCAATGTCTCAATATCCAATGAACTCTGTATAAAGCTGTAAATTCCAGAGATGTCTAGTGATTCTAAGCTTATGTTAAGTTTTAAGAATTTTCTATTTGATGGTGGAGACTTCCAATCTTTCAACTCCAGTATGGACATGCACTTGTACAAATGAAATAGATAAATCAAAATAAGGTCAAAACAAGAAAATTTTATATATTTAACAAATGACATGAAAAATGTTGAATAATTCGTAAACCTGGATGCACCACGGACCCAATTCAAGTTTCTCTACATGGCCAACACCGTGAAGAAGTTCCTTCAAATAGCTACATTCCTTCTCCAAGTTGCATTCTTCGTCAAATTCTAAAAATATGATTGTACTGACGAGTGAAGCCACATTTCTCGGGTTCAAGCATATCTTATTGCAATATCCGAATAGTTCAAGATATTTAAGATGAGGGGCTAATATTTCTATTTGAATGTCATCGTTCTCATTTTGGCAATCAAGTATGCTTAAATATGTCAGTTTCATAGACCTAACTTCAAGACGACTAATCCCCAATACATTTTTCAGTTCCAAATCCTCCAAGTTAGGGCAACCAGATAATACCTTTTCCAATACACCATCCGTTAAATTCAAAGACGCGATTGAAAGAAAAGTAAGACGACTCCAGTTAATACTACCACATGGGTTCAATTCACATTTCCTTAAATCCAAACTTTTCAAATACTTATTCTTATATGCAAATTGTGGAAACTCATATCTCGAATTACTTTCCTTATCAAATCCAACAGTAAAACATTCAACCATAGCAACTTTAGTAGCAAAATGTACCCATAAATCAACATCTTTAACATAACTTGTGTTGTACCTAAAGAGGAACTCAAGTGTTAATTCTTCAACATTAACAATTCTTCACTTTATTTTGGATTATTTCATAATGTATTGTAGCGTTCTGTATTGTTTAACGAACACAATGTTTAAATAGATCATATCGTTCTCCATTGTTATATAATATCACACATATACAATCTGAACAATAAGAAAAGTAGGGTACAATATAAAGCTACTATAAAAATGTAGGGTAAAAGATAAAAATATGATTGTTAAATACTAATAAATAAACACAAAATAAGAAGAAAAATATTATTATATCTACACGATCACACCAAATCAATCATTACACAAAATGCAATTTTTCATGAATTTAAACTAACAACACAATACTATACAATGGGTAAAAACCATCCAAACAAGGGGTAATTAGTGGCAAAATGTACATATAAATCAACATCTTTAACATAGCTCTTGTCGTACCTAAAGAGGAATTCAAGTATTAATTCTTCAACATTAACAATTTTATTAGCAAAATGTATCTATAAATCAACATCTTTAGCATAACTCTTGTATCACATATAGAGAAATCCAAGTGTTAATTCTTAAACATTAGCAACTTTACACTCTATTTGAATGACTATTACGTATTGTTTCATAATATACAATTTGACTGGTAAATATAAATGAGAGAAAATATATTAAGATAACAGATACGATCACACCAAATCAATTATATTCCAACCATCCAAACAATGTGTTAGTAGCAAAATGTATTAAAAAATCAACTTATTTAACATAAATTTTGTCATACCAGGGGAGAATGACTCTGAACTCCACGATTTTCTCAGAAGATCTCCAATAATAAAGGTCTCTATTGATTGATGCTATGAAATCGGAAACATCCTTTTCTGTGTAACGAAGAAGGGGATGAGGGAGACTGTAGAAGAGTGATAATGGAACGGACATCCAAAGAAATCTCCATCGCGTAGATAATACACTCGTTCTCACAATTGATTCATTGTCATCCAATATCTTAGACAAAATGTGCAGCAGAATTGACTCCGGCAAATCACTGAGTCGATCTTCCGACACCTTGTTTTTCTTCTGTATTTCCATGGCCTACAAGATGAAGGAGCTCTCTGTATTTTATAGAAAACTACAAAATTACATATACATGTTTCTCTGTCTGTTTTACTTTACTAGTTCTGGATATGCGTTGTGCATGTGTTTCTCATGTTTAAGTTCTTTGAATTTAGAAGACAGTTAATATTATATGTATCTCTTCATATGCTCTAATGTTTATTAAGTTCTTTGAATTTAAAAGGGTAAATGTTTTTTGCACTATTTTTACTAGTGTGAGTTGAATATTTCGGTTCCCGGCCTCCCTTTCAAGTTTCATCATATATAGAAGATTTGGTAAAAAAAGAAGATTTCAAAAGGGTTCTTTCATTAAATAATATATAAGATTAAAAGAACAATACAAGACATATTTCTTACTTTCAAGCATATTCATATCATTCTCAATACATCTATTTATAAGATTACGTTGAGGAACATCAAAAGGTGTCATAAATATGACATTATTCCTTGAGAAAATGTGGAAGAATATGGGATTGTGGATTATCTATGAGAGGAGATGAAAGTGTGAGTATTAGTATTTACTACTCATTGGAAATTATATCTAAAAAGTTATAACCATCCACAATTAAAAAATTATTTACAACATTAATTGCTATTTTGAGATCAGTAGTTGAAAAATAGTTATTTATAATGGATGATTACTACATTGATTTGGTGACTCGTGATCAAATTGTTGCAAAGCTTTTGTTATTACCATTTGCTTATATTGTCTTAATTATTTTTTTTAATGCATAATTTATGCAAATACTTTTTGCGTGATCAATGTGCATAACTTAAATTCAACCTTTTTGTAGTTTAGACATTAATAAACACAATAAAGGTATTGATTCCCTTTGATCAATGTGTATAACTGAAATTCTATCTTTTTGTAGTTTAGACATTTAGAAACACAATAATGGTATTGATTCTCTTTGTTCTTATATTAGTTGTCCATTTTTCGCTATTATACGTCTCCTAAGAAATCTCT